AACAATATAGATTACTGGTATATAGGGTTCGTTCAGTCTTCTTTGTGTTTCTGCCATATCCATAAAACTTACTGTGGAGTACATGACACTGAATCACTTTTAAAGTCGGTGGGCAAAATTTTCCAAAGAGGAGTAATGTTTTCTCAGGGAACTTCTGTTCACTAGAACATGTCCACACAAAGTCATTGCTGAAGATTTAATGGAAGGTTTTTCTTGGGTTCTACAGCATGGCAAAATCCTAGAAATGTTTTCCAAACTACCAAATTAAAGAATGTAGATGACAGTGAGATGTATTTCCATTATACAGTTGTAGTTAAAGAAAAGGGTAAAATAGCCTTTCATAAAGAAATAAAACATTATGCAACCTGTTTAACTGTTTTGTATTTAGCTATAGCAACAAAAAACCGTAACCCAAGCTTTTGGCATTCTCCTTATTACTGATTTTATTGTATTATTTTCCATTCCCATTAATCTGTTTGTCCACCCACTTTAGTAAATAGTCTACCTAGACACACTGTAAACAGAACTGCAAAGCGGATGAATGACCTCATTTTTAATCCTCATTACAGTTTAATTTCTTTTATTGGAGATGATTTCTGACCTTGATACTCTTTCTTTTTAAACACATATATAAAACCTTCTGGCCTGGGAAATACTTTAAATATCTTTTGCTTTATTAATTTATCATAGTGACAAGAAAAAGTTGTGTATACCTTGAACCATTTGGGTCAGTATAAAACTATGTTCCTGGAAATGAAATACTGTAATTAGAATTCCCTGGAGGCAATGTTTTCTTTTTAACTTGATGTTACAAGAGAAGAACTTCAAAGACTTTGTGACTTCAGCTGATAGTGGAGCAACTCCCTAAGGCGATTCCAGTTAGACAGCTCAGGGATGGCCATTCAGTGGTAGATAAGGGAGTCTGTGAAGTTAATGAGTAATACTGCCATTTTAAAATGCATTACATTTTTATTTATCGGTGAAAATTACAGTTTTGACATCTTATTTAAAAACTAAGTAGGAATAGGGAAATGGTGCTGGTTCTGTAAGAATGATCGGGGTGATAGTACCGTAGCACTAGCAAGTAAGCATTTTAAAAATAAAATGCTTTTCTTTCCAAAGGCTCACAGAGGAGAGAGAAACTTGTTAGATCATCCCATCACCAGTGCAGTTACTTCCCAAAGGAGAGTAATTAAATTGATGTTTAAATTACTTGAACATCGTTGCGTCTTTCACATCAGCGGAGCAGCTTTTTATGCACATGGTGTGGGAGTTGTGCCCTGCCCTCAGGAGAGGGATGCTCTGCACAGCCCGTGGCTCCCATGGCTGCTGTGCTTGGGGCTGCTGGAGCTGGGACACTTTGGTTGGGGCAGCGGGGCTGGGGACAGCGCTGGCACAGCAGTTTTTGGTGAGCTGGTGACTGCAGCCAGGTTTTACTGCTGGCACGCCCACACAGGCTGCGCCAGGGCTGATGACTTGCACACACAGTCAACCCTAAACTTGGTTCTTTCTCATAATTCTTTTGTCTGGACAGCAGATTGCCTTTCTCTGTGCCCCACCAGTGGATATTTCACAAGTTGATATAGTCATAATCAGAGTCCAGAGATGGAAAGCAGCAGGGAAAAACAAACAAATGCTGGATGGATAGGATGAAAAGGGGGGCTTTGGGCTGCGGTGGCTCAGACAGAGATGAGCTACAGGGCCTGGCAAGCAGCATGGGAAGTTAACCCGGGAGAACAGGTTATCCTGAGCTCTTTGTTTCTGGAGCACTGCTGATTACATGGGCAAGGTCTCCTGCCTTTCCCCACCAGACTGGCGCTGCTTACGCTGGCTCCACATCCTTCGGACAGCCGAGGGGGCTGAGCTGCCTGCGGGTGCCAGCCTGGTGCCAGCCCAGAGTCAGAGGGCAGGAGTGAGGCAGGGCAGGGTGCTGTTATCCCTGGGGCTCAGGGCATCATCCATGAGCACGGCACACAGAGCTCAGTCAGCCCAGCCGGGATCCCCTCCGGCCTCACAGCCTCTGGGGGCTCCCTGAGCCACAGCCAGCCTTTAATAATGGATGGGAGTTCTGAGCTGCAGCCTCGAGTTCAAAGCTCAGAGTGTCTGTGGATGGAAATAAAGCCACTGGACTTTGTGCAGTCCAAGCCTTTCTTCCCTTTCTCTCCTTTCTGCCCTTGACACTCAGAGTTTTTGTGGTAGTTCCATTTCCCATTGTTTTAGCAAAGGGAAAGGTTGGGGTGTGTGCATACTTCTGCATAATGGTTCCTCTTAAGTCTTTTTTATTTTTGCCTTCAAATTCTCATCAGTTTGTTGAGACTCTTTTGAGCTATTGTGAGGAATGTTCTCTCCGTAACACACTCAGCACTATATACAAAGAGATTATAATCTTTGTATCTTGCATGCATTTATTAGAAATCCAGTTTAATTCTGTTTTCTGTTAATGGAAAAGAAAATGAATACTTACAAGTAAGTATTTAAAGTGGTAATCCCATGGTCTTTAAAGCAGCAATATTGCTCTAAGCTGTTCCACAGGATGGTCGAGTAGTTAGCTGTCTGAATGACACAATGACAAATCAGATAAGTAACATATAGTTATATTTTAAAAATGCTGTAAAGTAGATTTTCTCATGAACTGATGTTTCCTAAAGCATAGGTGCTACTGCAATCAGAATGTTGCTGTCATTAAAGAAAGGTAAAATGCCCTGTTCATTTAGGAGAGACTGCAGTTTGTATGCCTGTATCCTTTCTCTCCTTCTGACCTCTGAGAACATGCATTGACTTCAAACATCACAGAAATCAAATTAAGTGCTACTTAGTTTTAGAGTGCCTTTCATCTGAGTGGAAATGTAGACCAGAAATGGACCTCCTGAATAACACAGGCTTTAGAATGTCACTCACTAATTTCAACATCCAACCTGCAATTTGTGGTTGAGCTAGGGCATATCTTAAAGACAGACATCCAGTCTTAATTAAAAGATTTAAAATGAGGGAGAATCTACTACATTCCTTGACTGTGGAGTGTTCTCTATTTTCTGGACTGAATTTGTCCAATTACAACTTTCAGCAACTGGACTTTATCTTTCTGTTTGCCAGATGGTACTTTTTTTTTAACTAGAAATATGCCTGTTTTCTGGTACTCAAGTAGGAAATAGTGGTTTAGAGTTGACATGGTGCAAATATAATGATGTTTATATTTAAAAAAATTCAGTAAGTGCAGTACTTAACTGCATTACTGTATTTCTTTAAATTGTTAATACCGTGTGGTGCAAAATTCAGTGTGTTTGCTGTCATTTTCCATCATACATACATCATAAATACATGAAAAAAATCCTTATATATATATATTCACAAGAAAAAAGAAATATAAACATACAGATTAAGATCTATTTCAGACTTTTAAATGATAAGGTTCATGTAGGAACAAAAGGATTTCATTTTACAGGCTTTGTTGTGTGTATTTCTTAATCTTATTGCTCCCTGAACTTTCATATGATCTTATAAATCTGCTGTGACAATATTTCCTACTGAGTTTCAGGTAAAGGGCAGGTGATAAAAATGTAGTAAATGCAGTTTAGTTCAATAGAAGGAATTAGATTTAATATATAACAACTTCAACATATAACATGACAGGCGTCCTCCAAGATGTAATGCCCATGCAAAATTTCGTTAGCCAATCACTTCAGTACCTGAAAATTCATTACGTATTATGTTCCTTCAACTTGCCTTAGAAATACTGATCAGATTTTTAAAGTAATCTAATCTATCTTTTATTTTAGTGGCTGATGAAAGATTGTAGGAATTTTCATGTCATTGCAGTTATTTTAGAAAAAACATCCATTCTTTTAATTAAGATAAACTTGCAATAAAATCTCGTTAATGGCATTGCTCTGGGAAATACATCCACAGGCTGTCTTGGCAACAAGAGATGGAGATGGAGAAAGCTATCTCCTGACACAAATTTCTAAAAGTAATCTTTTATTATCTTTAAAGCAAACAGTGGGTTTTAGCTTTGCGTCCTACATTCACAGGAAAAGTGTTGTATTTTTAAAACACGCAATTAAAACCCCCTAGAAAATATTTAATAATCTCCATTGTCATTACTCTGGCTGTAGCATAATCTCTAAGGATTGCCATTTTAATGCTAATTCCAGAAGCAAATGGAGCCAGCTGACATGTGCAGTATCAGGAGAAGAGGGTCGGCGCAGCAGCTCGAGACTCAGGAAACAGCAGGAGACTGCATTACCACTCATTACATATATTACAGCAGGCCTTGGGGATTTCTGTAGGGCCAGGACATTGTTATGCTCAATCCTGTACAAATGAGCTGTCCACGGGCTGCATGATGGCAAAACAGGAGCTGGGGAAATGTTTGTGTAAATTGTCCTTTTTTGGGTTAATTTTAGTTTTTTCTTAATTCATGCATGCTGAACCAAACCAAACTGGCATATGCTCAGTCTTTTGCTATCCCCTGTGCCTCTGGCTGTGACTCAGCTATTTAATTTGATGACTGTCATTAGAGGAAGCAGGGACACTCAGTGGTTTATGAATTCCCCCTGATGGTACGTGTATCTCTATGTTCTCCTCTAAGTGTACGGGCAGCAAAAAGCTCCTCAAATTCTTTGGGATCCATCTGGCTGCATGCTCAGGCAAATGAAATTACTTAAAGTGGAAATTATTTTATATTGCATTGATTTTTCCCCACCCCCCCACCTCCACCCCCCAGTTGTCATTAGCCACAATTGTTGTTTTCACCTGGGGATTCATCATAATTCAGATCTGTCTGCTGTGCACACAGGGTCTGGTTTTCATAATATTTAAGACTGGAATGGATCAATAAACCATTTAGTCTCATTGGGACCTTGCATGTCACATCTGTTAAATTTCACCCAGTGAAATTTCACCCATCTCTGCATGCTGATGCTGGCAACTTCATATAAATATATATTTTTTTTTTTTTTACAGCAGCTGAAGACAGCAGAGAGTAGAACATTAGCAGTTTCTGAGGTCTGTGCCAGGTGATTAGTTTGCTAGGATGATCTCAGCAGGTGTGCCATCATGCATGCTGAAAGGAGAGATGATTTGTTTCCTCTCTTCTTTGCTGTCAGTCAGACCTGAGGTATGCATCCCGTCTGATTATATGTGGGGGGATCACCATGACTCCCCATGGGCAACCAAAGCACACAGGCAGCTGTCTAGGAACAGTAATTCTTCAGTACTTCGTGACCAATCTGTAAAATTATAAAGAAATTAAGGTTTTTCCTTTAATCCCTTCTTTCCACCTTGCAGAAATTAAAACAAATAAAATGTGACAAATTTTATTGATTCGACCAGAACGTGTATGATCATTTTTACATAGACTTGCTGGGAATCAAATGAGATTTCCTTAAAGTCCTAAGTTTAGCCTGGAAAAATAGATTCTCTCTTTAGACTTTAACGTGAGGACTGCCTCTCTGGATTGAGCTCGGGGACCCAAAACTGATGGGGTGCCTTCTACCACTGTGTAAAGGCCTAGCCAGTTCTTCACTTGTATTTGCAATTTCTCTTTGCATACAACCAGTGATTGCTGTCTTGCTCCACCTTTTTTTTTTTCCCCCTTTGTTTTTTGGTCACAGTTTTACATCAGAAACACATGCTATGGCAGTGGTCTCCAAGCACTGCTGCATGGCGTGTTTGTCTTGATGTGGTTCTGGAAGGAGTGTAGCTATTTATTGGCTTAGAGGCTGGTCAAAGCCTGTGCTGCTGCTGAAGGGAACGGGCTGTTCTTGCCTCAGCCACGGCCAGACATTCCCTTTTTCCTCCCTCTTGCCTTGGCTCTTGCACTCTCATGGTGGATCAAGTCCGCTCGTCTGACCAAATCTACCACGGAAAGGATGAAACCGCCCTTGTCTCCCTTGGATTCTGCGAGCTGATCCAAGTCCCCACCAGGAGCACTGCAGCTGCCTCCCGGCCAGAAGTGGGGAAATCTGTAACCCTTTTACGGTGCTGGTGTAATGCTAGATTAGTCTCACTTGCTGGTGACCAGACTGTCTCTCCCAGCACTTCTGTGCCAAGGTTACTCTGGCTCTGGCACGGAGCCACACCGCTGGGGCTGGGCTTCTTCCCCGTCCAACAGGAGTTTATTTGGGGGGCTTGCAGTCTGTATTGTTTTAGTTGTGCTCTGTGAAGACCTTCCAAGCTTTAGTTTTTAGTCTCTTGTTACAAGAGTTATATTTTAATCTCAAAGGCGTTATTTTTTTATTTGTCAGTATAAAATAAATTCTGCTGAGCTGCAGTTGTTTAACCTGGTAGGTTATACTGTAGCAGTAGCCAAGTTGCTTTAGGTCTTTAATTATTTATATACTTATTAAGTTTACTGTCATCTGCATGCTTGCAAAAGAGATTTTATGTTTAGATCACTGTTTCAAACAAAAAAAAAAAATCCCTCAACAATGAACCCAACAAATCAAACCCACAAGCAAACTAGTTGGAAAAAGCAATGTACTAAGAACACGTTTCTAGGGACCTCAAAGCACTTAGTTTTATTCTTTGTGAGCCAAGAAGTCATAAAAAAGAAAACATATAATGCAAGTATTTAATAAAATCATGTTCAGCTATTAAGTTGGAAATGAAAATCTAAGATATCAACACAGCAGAGACCACTAATACCATCACAAAAATATAACAGATTGGTTGCTAGTCCTGCTGGTTGACATTATTGATATTTGTAGGCCCTAAGTACTTATCCTTAGAACCATGAATATACTTTACTTGTTTATAGTTTCCAAGGTTTGAGTATTTGGGGTTTTACTGCCTAGTAGTATTTTCTTGGCTTTTCTTTTTCATGCCTTTTTTTTCTTTTTTTCTTTTTTTCTTTTTTTTTAACTAGTCTATGTCTTCCAATATTTTAAATTACTTTGACTATACAGGTAGATAGAAAAGTTGGAAATTAAGCGGGAAAATTCAAAAATCTTTATTCAATAGCATATCTAAAAATAAATTACCAAAAATTACTACATTTTGTCTCAGTAGCTCCATCTTTTCCTAAGGACTATCATTTATTTCTTTGACAGTCAAATCTGTTACATGTATGGCATTCCACATTTTTCTAATTAGCTATGTAAATGAAAATTAAAACTCAGCATCTGTAAATATGAATTAATTATTGAAAAAAACCCTTACTTTCACTCTTGCTATAAACAGAGCCATGTTGACAAGTATCCTAGTAAATACTTCTTATCAGAGGTAATTTAAAATTGAGTGCAGTTTCACTCCAAGCACAAGCTTGATGTTGAGCTGTACAGCATCCAGCAGGGTTGAAGTCGTCTCATCATTTTGGTCATAAAATCTGAAAGATACAGGTCTACAGATGAAACCATTATAATTGAGAAATTCTGTTGCTTCCATTCAGGTGATGCAGTTACTAGAAAATTAAATTTATCACCAGCAAATTCTTTAATATATTCCAGCTGACTGACTTGATCAGTGTAAATAGAAAATATGTTCCAGTTTGTCCATTTCCTGCAAAATAATCTTATTGGCTTAAAGCCAAGTTAGAACACTCAGAGTGGGTCTTTGACATGGGTTGGGTTTTGTAGAGTGGGTCTGGGATTCCTGGTACCAGAAGCATGAGTAAGAGATGGTGGGAGGGAGTTTTGGTTTGCTAGCAGCAAAATCTGGGTAAAAGCAAGGAAGCAGAATGGGGTCATGTGTGTAGGCACAGCCTAACAGCTGAAAAAGGAATTGATGATCAGTGTATCTGGTAAAGGTGGGTTTGCACAGCTGAGGTGAGGCACCTGGAGGCCTATAATAGTATAAATCTTAGCCCCTGTTCTTAGCCTGAGCAAATAGAGGGAGCTGCACTGATTTCAGTTGAGCTGTGCATATGAAAATAAGGTGAGGTTGTAGCTTTCTGGATCAAGGTAAATAGGAAGCCTCTCCCTCTGTCCATACTTGCTAGACAATGTACAGTTTTGAGACTTTTAGTCATGCACAGATCTCAATGCACAAGGTGTACTGTACAAACATACGATACCAGGGAGCTAGAGAGACAAAACAGGTTCTTTTAAACAAATCTGCCTTGAAACTTGTCATGGCTGAATATGCTGAAAACTCTGGGTGAAATTTTAGTTGGGTTTGTATGATCAACAGAATGTGGAACTTTACCCTGTGAAAAAATCTTTTCAGTCCTATTTAAAATAGAGTGCATAACATCACTTTTACAGCTAGTTCAGCTCCAGATTAGGATAGTACAAAACTTACAGTAAAATGAACTAAAATAGCACAGGAAATCTCCAGACTTGATTCTCTGTGAGTACTAAGCAACCCTTCCATGTTCTCCAAAGCAGGAGTGTTGGAAGGCTCATCTGTTGTTTGTTTGTCCAGATTTCCCTATTCATTAACAATTTGTTTGACTGTGGACATGTTGAACCACATGTGCTTCAGATCTCTTTGTCTGTAGAAAACATATAAAACTGTTTTCTTAGCCACAGTATTATTCTGAAACCTCCAAGTATGTGGAGGAATACAGCAAGGAAGATCAGAGCAATGGACTTGTCCTATCACACACAGTGAGTTTTGCATCCCCTGGGTGTATATTATGAAAATCCTTCTTGGTTCTAACTACAGTAGTCAGGCATCAGTCTTCTGGAAAGCTCTAAGAATGGAATAGCACTCCTGGCATACTATTTCTATTCCTTTCTATTCCCATTTGCTCACTGGGAGATAAATATTTCCTTACAAATATTTCCTTCCCATTTGTTCATCTGGAGATGAATTAAATTGCATGGTCTTATTAAGATTTACCAGGAATTTTGGCACTTTAGTTTCTAAGAGAGGATTGGAAATGTGAGAATCTGCTTAAACATTGCAACAAAAGGTGCTTGGTCTTTTCAAATATCCCTTTACTCTTTTAATAGGAAATAGGGAATCATGGTATATTCCATTACAGCCTTCTTATATGATTCTGTACAAACTCTATACCTTTTAATAGCTGTCTTTAAGGTTATTGATTTTTTTTTTCTTTCTCATCCTTAGGATCAGATCTAAGAGCAATAACCTGGTTACAATATGTCACTTATTTTGCCTTAATTCTTTGACTCATGAGAGTCATATTTCTAATACAGCACTGACCTCAGGAGTTCTTTTCAGTCCAAGACAGCTTCCAGAGTTCCATATTTATTTTTTATTTCCTCCATTTTAAATATATGAAAATAATTTTGGCATTGGAGAACATGGGAAAGTGGAACCATTCATTTTTGCTCTTCCAAAACTGCAACTATTTAAACAAATTGACTGGGCCAGTAATGATCAATACATGGAAAGCAGCTATGGTTATGCATTGGGATCATAGACCTGCTTTTACAGCTCAGTGCTAGAGCAACCAATTGCCATCATTGGGCAAGAATTCTAAACCACTGAAAATCAAGTCTATTTGCACATCAATAACTGAGAGATGTAATTTGTGTACCCCATTAAGAAACCGGTATGTAGCTCTCCATGGTGAGTTATCCTAAAATGTTTTCAGCTGTGTTCTTGTTTTGCCTGATGATCCCTTGGAACAGGATGAGAATGGTAAATATTTGCTGCAGTTTTAAATAATGCTGGTTCTATCCCATAAAGTAATAGTTTGATATCAACAGATTTCCAGGCTACCTGGTTAGATAAAACCCAGAATAGTTTAGCTGATTTCCAAACAGTATGTAGTCATACCCATTTAAGACACAAACCGTGTTTTTGTTTGCTACTGGCTCTGTGAAGTGCTACACGTTTTGAATACTGAAGAGCTGTATTTTTCATGATTTTCTTAATCTTCTGCTGGTATTGACACTGTTGAAGCAAATCTGTTCCTGCCACCTGTGTCCTTAGAAAGATGTGGTATTGTGGAAGGAAGGATATCTGAGCTGAATCCCCAGTTTTAAAGAAACAAGTATTTTCCATAGGTAAACTTTTTTTTTTTTTTTCTCCCTGTATCATTTCTGTGGTTACTGTAAATTACCTTAGTTTTGAAAGTCTGTTTTAGAGGGATTAATCAAAGCATAACACTTGAGGCCAGTTTACATGCAGAGAATCATACACAAATATATATTGCATTTCTAAATGCCTGACTATCTTTCAGCATAACCTCTGTTATATGCTCTGTTTATAAACACATCTGAATCAGCACTGCTGCGTACTATATACCCAATCTTGAGCTTAATGTATCTGTATTAATACCAAACATCTGGTTCTTCTGGAGCAGAATCCCATAATGTACACAATCCAATGGAGCAGACAATGTCCCTGTTTTATATTGAGTTATCCTAAAGTCTGCTACTTATGCTACTTTCAGTTTGTAGTTTAGGCTTTTTAATGCCTCTTACATACTGGTTGCTGCTATGTTCTATTCATATGTGGAGTTTCTGGAGGTATATGATATTTCTTTGGAGTATTTCATTCTTTGGGTTCAGGAGGCATGGCTGATCAAGGGAGGTTGTTCTTCCCAGTCAAGGATGCTCTTAGATGACTTAGACAGTAAGAGCTGCCTATTCAGCCTGTGTCAAAATCTATCCCAGGCTGGGGACTTGCCTTTCTGCAGTATGTGAAAGGCAGCTATTTTTTCTCATCAGATGAGTTTCTGTTCTTTACTTTCAGAAGGATTTGCCTGTGTAGCGTGGCTCCTGTGCTCACACTGAGGTTACAGTTTGCAGTATGTTGCCCACAGGACGAGCCATTCAAAAACCACAGCTAGTGAAATAAGAAAACCCATGTACTTATTTTTGTCCTCAGAGTAAATGGTGTCCCCTTAATTTGTACAGTCTGTCACATCTTCTACTAGTGAGCTCATTAGGATAGAAAGTATCAGGATCATGTCAGTTTTGTGATCATAATTTGAACGCAGCTTCTTTGGACCTTTATCCATTCAGCTGTCACAAGTCTGACATAAATTTGTGGTCAGAGATGGTTTGAACCAAATAATCAATGGATCTTTGATTTGGAAAGGAAAGAGACAAACATACTCTATTCCCTCTAATTAATTAAACATCACTTTTTTTTGCTTTTCCAAGTAATATGGGTTGGCTTTGCATTATAATTACTATAATTGTGATAGACCATATTCAGGTACAAAATCACCTGAGTCTTTCAGAAGTGCTTGACTACTTGATTATTGCAACTTTTAAAATATGTTCTTTAATAAAAATCTACTCCTTTTTTTTTTTTTTTTTTTTTTTCTTTCTTCTGTGTCTGTGTTTTTCAGACATCTTGTCAAGGCTTGCTGTTTATTATGAGAGTAGACCCTTAATGTGGAATCACAGACATAACATCTGACCTGGAAAAAAAGTAGTTCTAACAAAGGGTTGAATCTTCAGTATTGAAGACATTGAAGTGAAAAGTAGCCTGATTAAAGACAGCAGTATTGAGTTTTTGCCATTAGACTAGAAAGGCTGAATTGTTACTAAAAGCCATGAAGAGGGGGACTCTGGAATTTGTGGTGAAAGGAAATTGAAAAGAAACAGAACATTTGGATTCATGTTTCATGAAATAATGTGTGTGACAGAATAGGAAGGCAGTCTGAGGGAAAATTGACATAATTTTTTCCTACAACTGGGAGAGGCTAGATAAATATGTCAGTGTTAACAAGTGAACTATTGTATACTTAGAAAAAAAGATTCAGAACAATTTGTAAATATTAATTTGCATTGGCCTTAGAAGAATGTTTTATAATGTACAAAAAATGTACTTTTTCTCTATAGCATCTTTATAAGACCATACTAATTACAAATCTTTTTTAGTTTTCTTTAATTTTATAGGACCAATCCTTCATTCAGCTTCACTTATCTTAATTACAAAGCTATAAAATTAAATATTTCCCACTGTATTTTGTTACAGCCACAAGAGAAATAGAGGATTATGGTATGCTATGGCATTAGGTTTTTCAGATAGGAAAGAAAATTAGGGAAAGCAAAAAGATGTTATTAGAATTCAGAGTGCTAACTAAGAAGGAAACAAAAACAATAAGGGCAGAGTTATATTTTTTTTATTTTATATGAAAAGAGCAAAGAAAATTCTCTTTTTTTAAATTTAATTAAAGAAAATTTAATTTTGATGTACATGTAGTAATGGAGACTATAGGTTTCAAAAGTAAGAAGGAAAAAATCAAGCTTGGACAATTGAAGCTCTGTAAGTAAATAAAGTAGTTGGAATATAAAATCATTGTGAATAAATAGACATGGGAAAACCTATATTGAAAGAAAAAAATAAGGTAATTCCTTTTAGAAGAAAGCAAAAAATTGGGAAGTGGTCACCCCACAGATGTCCTGAAACTTACAGAAAATAGCCAGATCCCACAGCCAAGTGTTCACAATAGCAGAAACAGGATTTTGAATTATTTCAGTAGAACAAATGCAGATTTGTCATAATTTCAGTCACTTCATTATTGCCCCATGGTAACATCAGTGTTTTGTAATTATTTTGGTGGTAATTATCTGAACTGCTTCTGTTCCTTTGTTCAATAAATTGTTTTCAATCATTTATGAGAGAAATTGAGCACTTTCTTAGTATACTTCTGCTCATGGCTTTTATTAACAGTGGGTTTCAAAGAATTTCTCAGGCATGATGCTGACTTTAGGAACATTCACATCAGAAGATCTCACAAGTTACACATGCTTTAGATGTTCAGAAATTCCATTTGTATAAAAGGAAGAGTTGAAAATGTGTGTATTTGTACACTTGACTTATTTGCTTAGAGGTTCTTTAACCTAAACCTTCCTCACAGGTGAAGGTCAAGTCTTTTTGACTTTCCTCTAGACCATAGGACATTATTATCTCTTTTCAGGTATTTCTTTTCATCTCAGATTAAGGAAAATGCCTGTATTCAGATAAAAATAAGAAGCATTGAGTTGAGGGACTGACTTGAAATAAAATGTGTAGGTATTGGAGCAAGATTTCTTGTTGTTTGCCTGGCAGTCAGTAGAGATTCCCATGGACAGAAGATAGACTGGTTCTTTTCCCCAAATTTAGACCCTGCGAAGCTTCCTGCTGTAAAAATACCTTGTCTGGCTTCTGTTGCTGTTTGCCCTGAGAAATCCTGTAGACAAGCAGTGTAAATATTAAACCACGAGCCTCAGAGGTGATGTGGGGCAGCTGTAGAACCTGCATGACATGACATTATTATGCAATTTTGTATGTTTGGCCCTTTGTGACTGTAAAGCACAAGGATAGAATGCTTGCCCACAGACCTATTCTATTTTTAGATCCAAAGTCTACTCCTGTGTGACACTTTCTTACTAGGAGAATGGACATTTAAATGTTGCTGCAGAGGCAGACAAAGAGGAGAAACAGAAGCACAGAAAATGGATGTAACAGCAGGGATGAAATGCAAAAGTTTAGTGTTATCATTTGTTACACAAATCCCAGTGGCTAAGTGATAAACAACCTCTCTCTGAGGGCATGATGGAGGCAGTGCTGCTGTTCTCCATGGAGGAATTTGTAGATACCAGAAAACTTTTCCAGTACATCCTTGTCATCACGTACAGAGGCAACATGCGGTTTCTCAAAGCAGGATCAGAAAGACTTAAATACTTTTTAATGAACTTGGGAGCCCTTGATAGAACATTAACAAATGTCTGATGGTTGCTGTGTTCGTATAAACAAGATTTCTTTTTTCTTGTTCTTGTGCTTTAGTCCATAAACTGTTGATATTTCCAACCTCCAGCCAAATTAATGCTCAAGAGGATACACATTTCTGCAGTCTCCAAAGAGCTGGATATCACCAGTTACATCCAGGAATTTCCTTTTTAAAGTATGTTAAGTTTACTGGGAATGTTTCTTGAACAACCTTAAAGAAGGCTGTGTTGGGCTGCTTTGGTTTTCTTCGTGTCAACATCTGTTAATTTGATTATCTGTGCTTTAAAACCAACTGAAAATACGTAATTAACAGCGTAAGTGTTGGCAACTCAGACTTTTTTCTCTCAGATTGAAGATATAGTCATAGGTAGGAATCACAGTTTCAAGTCATTGAATTGTAGTAGAATTATACATAGATTGTGAATGGCCCTTAAAGAATCTGAAATGATAAAGGGAAAAGTATCTGAAAACCTAGGGATTTTTGTCTGTTTTTTTCTTTTCTTGCTTTTTATTCTAAGCCTTAAGAGAAAAGAGTGCAAAGTTAAGAAGAAAAGCAGAAACCATTTCTCAGATTGTCTTTAAGCATATCACTGCTATTGATTCAGCTTGCTAGACTGTACAACTGATCAGATCAATTTTGGGCTATCTTTTCACATAAAATACTCTCTCAGCTCAGTTTCAAACTGACAAATTCTGGGGTTTTTTTGTTACTGAGATGACGACCAAGAATTTTGATCACGGGAAAAAGCATTGTTGAACTAAAGGCTCTGTTCAGGTGTTCTCATGTGAAAAGCTCCCTCATGCTAAGCCAAGGACCTGCACAGTGGTGTAGTAGGAATATGAAGGAAAGGAAAGCCTCATGGCTTTTCAGGGAGTTTCATATCCCCCAGTTCACTTGGATGCTACTGGTAAATGCTCTTCCATTACATGCAAGATACCTAAATTACATTAAGTTGACTAGAGGTTAAAATGAACCTCTTTTATACATTTTCGGGGGTTTGCATATTAAGTCAGCATTTTTACAGCGTTTTAAATTTAATGTTTAGTTTTCTTTTCTTTAGGCTTCAGGTTTTTGTTTGTTATTTTTTATTCCATGGTTATATATGGAATGTTGTTTTGAAATTCTAAATTCTGAACATATTTAATAATGTATCATAAAAACAGATCTGGAGGACCTGAAAAATGTATAATTCCAGCTCCAAGTATGTAGCAGTTAAAGAATGCAGTCACAGAAAAACAAAAGCCTGGATAGAGGCACCTTTATTAATTTTTTTTTCCTTCACTCCATACTTTATCCATCACATCCATATTTTTATTGAAAATACAAGTGAAGATTTGTTCTGGAGGGACTTCATTCAGATGCCATTTTGTAGTGGCTGCTTGCAACCACAAATGTATTAGCATTTTAACTCGTGCTATAGCTGCTTATTCTGTATGTGTCACAGATACTAACAATTCAGGCCTTCAGTGAATCATGACAAAATATTCATATTTATAGTTTGACAGGAATTTTTTAACAATTAGGAACTATATTCTGTAAATTTAGTTGTCCGCACTTGGAAAAATTCTAACAAGCTAAGCAGGTTTTTTATTGTTGGTTTGATTATTTATATTTTATTATTTTTATTTCATTCTGGTGTGCTTATTTATTTATTCATTAGACCTAATAAATCTTAACTTTCCTTCATAATAAGATATTTACCTTTTTGTTTCTGTGCTAATACATTCATTGTCTCTCAGATCATCTTTCTTCTTTCTGAAGTTTGAAATGTTTCTTCCCACATCTTCTGCTAACCTTTACATTGGCCCCAATATTTAGCTTTGCATAGTCTCCATTCCCCTGTTTTCCCCTCACAGATGAGTTGTTCCCTTGCAGAATTAAACATGTTACAGGTACTTGGAAGAGTAGAGACATAACAGCAGATACTCCTCACCTATGGAAATTCTTAGATTAATTTATTTAAGAAAAACGTAGAATTTACTCTGAGGTCAGTAAAGCTGTACTGTGTAATTTCATACAATTTCTGTAAATGAAGGTTTACTAAGTGCCTAATGCCCTGACTGTAGCCAAGACCAAGGAATCAAATTGGGAAAACACTGGTTATATTTTATAGACATTCAAAATTGATTTCTTTTGCTCTTCTTAGTGTCAGAAGAGACAGCTTCATTGCTGTGCAGTAGCTTTCTGTATTTCACCACCTTATTTTAAAATGATACTGTACATCAAATATTTTAAATATATATATATCAAATCTATGATTTCGGGAATGAAAGGGAAACAGAATCAAGCATATACAACTTCTAAAAAAGAGAATTGAAGGAGAAGGGAGGTATTGGACATTGCTGTGAGTACAGCTGATTCTTTCTGGGAAGAGATTTTGTGAGGGAAGCCTTGACTGCACTAAGTAAAACTAGTGTTGATTAGGCAGAAGTGGATGGTAGTTGATTGAGAGTGGACAGGCTGAAAAAAAATATCCCAAGCCAGTTTATAGCCTCAGCTACATCTGTTGCTGCTTTTTTACTGGAAATTTTCACATGAAAACCTGGTTTGCAAGCTGGAGTTTGGAATAACTTTTCTTTACATTGGACCCTGACTTTCCTGCAAAAAGCAATTAAAACCATATGTATCACTTTTTTGGATGCAGAGTTGCCTTTGTCCTACACAGACCTGGGAGCATTAAGGGTAACATAAGAGCTGAATTATGAAAGTAGTTACAAAACAAAGTAACTTCTCCAATGCATTTTACAGAATAATTTTTTCACCAGATACATTTGCTTACATAGAATTTTTCCCTTTTTTTGTTTGGTTTTTGGCATTTTTTGTTTCTTTTGTTGTTTTTTTTTTTTCCTTAATGTCTTTAAGTGATTTTGAATTTCTGGTATCAGGCTTTTCCTTTGGTATTCCTGGGAGCATTTATTGCCCTTAATTGGTTTAAATATTTTTTAAATGCCAATCCCAAATTACACGTTTGGTTATTTAACGCCAACTGAGAGATTAGGCAAATGCAAACTGATTTGTGTGGCTACGAAAACCGCACGCGTGGAAGCCAATCACATCGATCACCTCAGCCAATTATTCTTGTACAACACGTGGTTATCCCATTTTATTCACTAACATGCAGTGAAGCAAGCTGGCAGCTAAGAGTTGTTACATGATGAAAGCCTCTTTGCTTACCACTCTGATATCACTGCTGTGAAGGACAAGTTTTGTAACATATTTTAACAATCTTTTCAGGAATACAACTCGAAGTTACTGAGACAAGGAAAAAAAAAAAAAAAACAAAAATTGCTGGCTCAATTAGGGTTGGATTGAGAAGCAGCAGTTCCCAGCCAACTAAAATGTTTTAGATTAACTTTGGATTCAGCAATATATTCTGAAAGGAAAACTGTTGACAAGGCTGTGCAAGTATTGTGAAGGGCTGTGGTGCGACAGGCTTGATGAGGATTGGAAGTTCTGGTTGTTTCCGAGATTTCTGTCGGCTTTGAAACTCAAACGTCTCAGTACCTCCAAAACTAAAACCAGCCTATATAGTGCTGGCTGTAGCCAGATGAAGTGCCAGGGACTTAATTAGCAATATATGGGTTTCATTTCATCCCAGTGCAGATGCAAAGCGAGGCCTTTGCTAAAAAGGGCTGGAGTTCAGTCGGGATGCAGATGCAAATGCTTTTGGTTGCAGACTTCACTAGAAGTGAAACACTGCCCGCAGTCATGGGGATTAATTCCTTTGTCCATTGTCATTTGGGCTTCCTCTTCTCTCCTGCTGCAGGATTCCTCATTTTATAAATCATTCTGTGCTGCTAAGATCTCCTTTTCAGCTCATTTGAGATGCAGTGTTCGGAAGGAGTACCCTCCTCCAAAAGGTCAAGCTTGTTGTTTATTGTCAGTGAAAAGGTTTTCTCTGTTTTCTCCTCCTTTAACTTCTAATACCATCCTTCTTTTCCATGCCACCAACCAGCTTTGTTTCTCTCTGAAATGAACAGCAAGAGTACTATTAAAATTTATGTGGCTTAGCCTCTTCTCTGTGAAAATGGCCAGCAAAGCTAATATTTTGAGGCCCTCTCTGCATTCTCCATTGTGGTTTAATATAGTGTTTCAGTAATGCTTGCAAAAGCCTGTGTAGGAGAGGGAGTGGAATCACAAGATGAGAATTTAAAAATAGTATCTCTGGAAAAGTTGATACTGAGAATTCTTTAAAATTGTTTTGGCCATATTTTTATTCAGGGCTGCAAATACCTCTGAGGGGAAGAAAAAAAAAAAAAAAAAAAAAGAAGCTTAGGATTCTCTTTTTGACATATCTTCTTGATGCTTTTGTGAATGTGGAATATATTAGGTCTACATTATCCATCATTCCTCGATTATGAAATCTCAGTTCATTAAGTCTTATCTGAAGCCTTTGAATAGAATGCAGCCTTCCTTTTTTTGGTAGCAGTGCAGGTTACTCCTTATCACTCTTAGACCTTGCAGAATGGCATGAATCTCTACATGA